TTTTTCCCGGGTCCCCCACCCGCACAATGTGACCCTAACCCCTGCCAGGGTCATAGACGGCAATAAAAAAACCTGACAGCTGTTCTAATCCCTCTGTATCTAAAAACAAGTTTTTCCTTTGGTTGTACTGTAAAAATCCAGAGGCGTCTGTGGGCAGCGATGAGAAGAGTTAAATAAAGTTTTTCTCCTATATAAATAGAGGTGTTTAACTCTGTATAAATAGAGGAGTGAAGTCAGCAATGTATAAATACACTCCTAGTATAGGTCTTTGTGTTGTGACTGATGTGAGCATGCCTGGGCCACCCAGAACAATTCAGTAGCAGTCTGCAATACGGCCAAGTGAGGGAGGAAAAAAAAAAAAAAAAAAAGATGGAGAAGAGCGTGGCGCGCACACTGTAATCAGCATCACCGCGGGAGCGCGCACCGTCTACAGGAGAACCCAACATTCTGGTCGGTAGGGAACTGTGCGCAGGCGCTGGGAAGTCTCGCGTCACCAGTAATTGGTGGCGACGCGAGACTTGCCGGCGCATGCGCGGTCCCGAATGGTGAGTCCCCGAGAGGTGCCGGTACTGAGTACCGTTGAGGACCGGCAGGGATAAAGCGCCGTGTGTATGTAGCGCTCGGTGCACCTATGCTCTTGTGGCTGGGCATCGATGTGAACGGTGGGTGCCGGGAGCTGAGCTCTCACTGACTACTGGGGGGGAGTCTGAAGTTTGCATTTGACACTTTTTTTTTTTCTTTGCAAGCTGGCAGTGCAGTGTGTAGGTGTAGTGGGTGCAGTGTGGTGGAGGCCGGGGCCCAGTGCTCGGGGTCAGCCTCCTGGGATGGCAGGACAATCTGTCACATTGACTGTGACCTGCACTGACTGGCAGGCTAGGCCAAGCTTAAAGGGCTAGTCCCCCCCCTGTTCACAGGTCTGCAGGTATGTCCTCTACATTGGTGTACACTGCAGCCTCCGCCCGCCTCCTCGCACTGCGTTTCGCTGCCCATTGGCTACCAAAGTGCCAATCGCTGTGATGGCAGAGATGGGCGGTGTACACAGTGCAGGGCATGGCTCAGAAATGTCAGTTAGCCCCATGCACTGTGCAACTGCCCATTTCTGTTTATTGTGGCAGTTGGTGATTTCTCAGGATTCAAAATAATCTGTATAGAATCCTCTGTTCCTTCAGAATCTTGTTCAACTTCTAAGAACGCTCCGGATCCTAACTGATGTGTGTGTCATCTTTGTGTTTCCTCAGCATGTTAATGTTTACAGCGTATTTGATCATTAGCATTGAATGTATGTTACATATTGAAGGGATCCCGTTGCTGTGGATGGTGCGGTGTCGCTGGACTGGGTGGACGTTTATCAGACGGAATCGGCTCAATTCACACAGCTCTCACACAAGGACAAGGATCTTTATTTTCACCATTCAACTGTCATTTGTAAATCCTATTTAAGACGGAGCCCTTGTTCACACTAATGCGGTGCGCAACATCGTACGTGATTCACACAGGAACCACACCGCATTCCTGTGCAAATCACTTGTCATGTCTGTGTGGTGCATTTTGCATCATTCATTTTGCGTGAATCTGGACCAAAAAGGTGCAGGACCCCTTTTTTTTTTTTCCTCACATCTGATTCACATTGCATGGGTGTTCATACCCATGCAATGCGAATTCTGGTAATCGCACTGCATTTTGTGATCTGCTTCAGGGTGTCGTTGATTTAACATTAGCACTCGTACCAGATCGCATGGACGCCGTGTGAATCCAATACAGTGCGGAAAACTCACAGTATTCACTGTGTTTCCCGCACGGCATTAGTGTGAACCAGGGCTAAAGCCTTGTTCACGCCATACGTGCAGAAGAAACTGATGGAAACTGACACAGATTTCACTTGTAGAGATCAGTTTTCAAGCGCGCTTCAATGAGTTGTATACACTTTGCAGATTCTTGCGCAAAAAAAAATCTGCATGTGATACTAGTGTTTCGGTGTGAACAGGGCACATAGAGAACAATTGTTTGCATTGTGTTCTTGCAGAACGTATTCAGAAAAACTGACATTTCTGCACCTATGATCTGAACAAGCCCTTAGGCCTCTTTCTCACCATACTTGCAGAAAAACTAATGGAAACTAACGTGCAGATTTCACTTGCAGAGACATCAGTTTTCATGAGCCCTTAAGCAATTGTTCTCTATGTGCCTTGTTCACACCACAACACTGCTATCACGTGCAGGTTTTTTTCTGCGCGGGAATATGGAATGTGTATAAAACTCATTGAAGAACACATGTAAACTGATGTCTCTACAAGTGAAATCTGCATGTCAGTTTCCATCAGTTTTTCTGTACTTATGGTGTGAATGAGGCAGAAAGACATCAGATTCTTGGCAGAAAGTTCTTGCATAAGGGCCAGTTCACACCAGAACCTGTGCTTTGTGTACGTTTTCTGAACCACATTGAAAACACACGAATGTGTGATCTGCTGCGGGTGACAGTATAATCCTAACCATACCCCAAATGCAGATCGCAAATGCAGTATGCTTGCTTGCACTGGCTCACATGGTACCATGCAATGGTCACGGTATGTTTTTGAGAAGTAGTGCATGCACTATTTTTGGTGCGATTTCTTCCCATTCAAATGAACGGGCTTTAAAGTCACACCAGACTGAGTCTCGTAGCAATCACACAGGCGCGTTCTGTGTGATCCAGGTGTGAACCGGCCCTTAAAACACAAGGAGGTTTGGCTGCATAGTAAATGCACAAATTTGCGCACAAACGTAAAAATTATACTCACTTTTTTTGGAATGTGGCATAATGCATGTAATACTGACAGGCAATGCTGTTTTTTATTTTTTTCTACTGATCTATAGGCAGCACGTTTACACACGTGTGTACAGGCCCAATAAAAACAATGGTCTGAATCCGAGATCAATTAAAAAAAAAAAAAATGCCTAAAAACATTTTTTTTAGGCCTCTGTGTGCAAGAGGCGTAAGGCACACCACACACACGTTACATTCTGATTGTACAGTCTGCTTTATGGTGGTTATACCAGTGAGATAAAGTTAAAGGATTGATGTCTGATTCAACAGTGGATCGATGTCTGATTCAAAGAAGGATCGATGTCTGATTCAACAGTCTGTCTGATTCAACAGAAGGATCGGTGTCTGATTCAACAGAAGGATCGATGTCTGATTCAACAGAAGGATCGATGTCTGATTCAACAAAATGATCATCTCGATATCGAGTGAGCAAGACAAAAATGGGTTAAGTTACAGATGGTGATGGTTTTGGTCAAGCCGATCAGTTGTGACAGCAAAAAATGAAAAAGGTTGTACAGGGTTGATTGGTGGCATTTTTTGCAGCCTTGTGAAGCATAACCATTTTTCATGTAAGTGCACAAAAAAACACCATTGTTCGACCCTGTGTGATCGTTTTTTTTCCCTACCACAACAGATCAACTTGGGTCAATTGAAACTCTCGCTATATGTCACACATGCCATTTTTGTCTTGCTCAACTGATTCCTGATTCAGTTGTTTTACTAAATCAGATATCGATCTTCCAGTTTTATTGCACCATATATGGCCACCATTGGATCGATCAGCAACTATGGTGTTGGTGGCCCTAAGGATGACATGTCCTTGGTGCAGTGTCGTTTTGGCTGTAGGAAGTGAAAACACTGGGGGAATGATGTGCGTTTCATGCGGTAAATAGGAAATTGATCAAAATGTTGAATGACTTGTAAGTCTCTAGCCTGGTGACAGTAGATAAGTTTGTCATATTTTCCATACTATTAATTGCTTCTCTCTTCAGTGTTACCATCCCATGGGACTTCATTATGTACTGATGGTGTGCAGTACTCCTCATCAACCAATCATATGCCAGCTTCTATTACAGAATTCTGCAAGCTGATTTTGGATTTGTTACTTTTTTATGAACCTAAAATTATATCTACTGTCAAAACATTTTTTTTAAATATTGGATGAAGAAGTGAATAGTTACGACCCATGTCAGATTTTGTTGGGGAGACTTCCTTTAATTTCCTGTCCTGTAGTCGCAAAAGGAAGTGAGTGGAAAACTCTCCAAGGTGAGAGCAATTTCTTTGCAGTTGTCACAGGAAAAATGTCTTCATTGGAAAATGTACCCTTTCTTTCTGTTTGGGTGGCTGCTTAAACTTTTTGGACTTTCCCGTCACTTTCTTTCCCAGTAATAATGACCACCAGGGCAGACAGAGAGGGTGAATTTTCCTATCAGGGACACCGACAGTGATAAGAACTTGATAGGGGTCTGACATGTTCTCGCTCTGTCCAAAACTAGATGCACTGTAAAATAAATCTGTGATTGGAGAAATTCTATCATGTTTTAGCGCTGGTTTCACATCTGTGCGATTTCCCTGCGGTCACATTTGCTCGGGCACAGCAGCTAATTCATTTTAAGGGGATGCTGTACCCCCTGAAGATTCAGGGAAAAGGGGAAAAAATGCATCTGCAGAGGAACCACATAGTGCAGTGCGGTTTCCAGTGCATGGGCTGCCATTAGGTTTAATGGTACCCCCACGCATGTACAAGATGTGTGATTACACACACTACCCACACTAACATGAACCTAGTCTCAGATTGGTTTCCAACTGCTGTCAGTGCTTGATCATGGGTCCTTAGGATCCGCTGTTAATAAATGTATCAGTGGCTTTGGCTTTTTTTTTTTTTTTTTGTGATAATTGATCAAGAGTTCTTTGGAGAGTTCTGTTTTTAGCATTTACCTACTTTCGCGCTTCGCCACCAACAAATTTTTTTAATGCATTTGAAAATAAGCTACTGTGTACAGTTTGGTTCCTAAGTTATGACGCTTGTATTTTTTTTTTTTGTGAACTCCTAGGAAGGTTTACAGTTTTAGCTGCCATCTGTCACATGATATATCTCATATGATATTTGTTTCCTCAGCCTTTGATTAAATTAAAAAAAAAAAAAATACTAAAGCTGCCAGGACCACAGTCTGACGTTTGTGCATTGTTTTGTTGTAGGTGTCATGGATGAACTCCAAAGCTTGGACCCCAGAAGGCAGGAGTTGCTAGAGGCCAGATTTACAGGAGGTGTCAGTGGCAGTACTGGAAGCACCGGAAGTTGTAGCGTTGGAGCAAAAGTGAGTGAATCATATTGCGCTGATGGGCTACTTTCTTATGATGATTTAGTTTAGTACCAAGATTGCTGCCTTTTCTGGTGGAGGGCAACAGGTGTACTGTAAGACTGACGATTTGATTTAGACAGCTGCGCCCCAACTGTAGACTTGACTAGCTGTGAAGGACTGAAAGGAAGATGAGGCAAAGGATACATGTGATAAAAGGACCCCCCCTGCCCCCCTTCCTACTTTACAGAGCTAAAGGCACACCTGTCCCTATACATAACAGCCATTTTGTGACCGAGTATTCAGGCCTCCACCTCCCTAGGGAGCAGTAATGACACTGCAGTATCATGTAATGGATTCTTTGGTGCCCGAACAAGAGGTTTATTTATCTGAAATATTTATCTGTTGAACAGAGTGAATGCACCCATTGCACATTGGGTGCCAATAACAGGGCATTAATATATTAAATAAAATAAACTCCCCCTTCCTCATTTGTGATCTTCTTTTTAAACACAGAAATTAAATGAGTAGTTCATGTTAAAATTTAAAATCCACTAGCTTGTTCTCATAGCCTCTTAACCTAATCTAACATGGTATTGCCAACCCAGATGCTTACTTAACTCTTCCTGGTAGTTGGGACAGCCTTAGGTCTTCTTGAGCATTGGCTGTACCTGCATAGTAACTCCCTGCAGGGATGTGCAATTCCTATAGCCCGATGCCCGGGACATGCAGTTCTGGGCACCGGGCAAGTCGTTTTTCTTTACATTTAGCCCTTCTGTGGGCAAGTGGCAGGGTTTAGAGACGACAGTTGGCTCTCTTGTAAAAGAAATCCAAGTGGCTAACTAACCATTGGATCGCTTTTGCAAGCAGTGGGATGGGACATCTCCCCTTACATGGGCTGTATCATTGCATCAGGACACCCGATCAACCATCTGACGCTTCCGCTGACTGATCATAAAGGCAGACAAATTCTGGAACCACTCTGTTCGCCTCTGTGATATAGAAAACAGGAAGTGATGAGCATACTTAACTTACAGTTTCTCCTATGTAATTGGCACCATTTAAAAAAATGGAAAGCTTTTGATCACAATGATTTAATGGCAGATGAGGGATCTGGGGTCTTATTGACACCAGATCGCTCGATAAAGAGCACCTGTCACTGCCTGTTGCTGTCACAAGGGATGTTTACATTCTTTGCGACAGCAATACAAGTGATCAAAAATGAAAAAAATTAAAGCGACAGTGTTAAAAATAATAAAAGTTTAAAAAAATGTTTAACGCACCCCCGTCCACGCTCACAAAGGTGAACACACTCATCAGCCCTGCACACACACATACAGCAATCTGCCCACACATGTGATGTGTCACTGAGAATGTCTAATCATGGGCAGTAATTCTAACACCAGACCTTCTCTGCAAACCTAAGGTGGTAATCTGTAAATGCTGTGAAAAAGTTGCCTATGGATAGTAAAATTTAGTTTAGTATTGTGTTTTTTTGCATTAAAATTCAAGAGTGTATTTTTTTTTTTTAAATTACGTTTGAAAAAAACGCTGTGCAAACACTGTGTTACATATAAGAAATTTTCAAAACCCACCAATTTATTCTCTAGGGCCTCTGCTTTAAAACAAATATATGTTTGGAGGTTCTATAAAATTTTCTATCAGTTGCCATAAATCCCCTTTAGTTTTTTAAAAGCACCTCTGCCTAATAAAAACATCAACTCTTCTATCCTGGCAAAAAAAATGCTTTCTATCAGGACAAGTAGATTGGATACCCAGTTTAGTCCCTTGGACAAATAGTTTTTAAAAACATTTTCACACCCCTGCTCCTCAGAGACTTGGGCAGTAGTCCCAACACTAGAAACGCTACAGATATGGTCCAAGTCTATGGGGAGTTGCTACACAAGCATAACCTGTGCCTGAAATGATTTTGGCTCCAGGATAAAGACTGGAGGATGATGCTACTGTCATCAAGAGGTACGTAGGTAAGAATATAGGTGGGGAAGTTCTGGGTTAGATTAGGGTAGAAGGCTTGGTAGGGTGGGCTAGTGAGATTTAGGTTACATGGAACATATCCTTTTTGATCATACTACTATTTACCTGAGTGAATTTTCTGACTCTCAGATAATATCGTGAGAAAGTTGAAGCATGACATAAGCATACAGGATATACTAATAACTTAAATATATGTTCTCAAGGAACATATACTTAACCATTAGCCGCCCGGCCAATGGCCGTTTGGCGGCTTCAAATGTGTCTCTGCACTCCAGGTGCATGCCATTTGGCGTGCTCCCGCACAGGCGCAGTTTGCGCTAATGCAGAGCGGCGCAGCAGTGCGATCTGTCACCGGCCGTGCACCTCGGACACGGCCGATGACAGATCCGAGTACCGGCTCCCGTTGCTGGTACCATGTGACCTGCTGTGACCAATCACAGCAGGTCACATGACAGTTGTATACAATGGATGGCTTCATTCATGATGCCATCCATTGTATACTAGTGCCTAGCTGTGAATGGTCATAGCTAATCACATGCACATGTCATGTGATTAGCTGTGACCAAATCACAGCTAAGCACGAAAAAAAAAAAAAAAAAAAAAAAAGCTGAATGAATCGATTTCATTCAGGTAAATGCTTGCTTATAGCAAAGTAATTCTTTGCTATAAGCAAACTGTGTTAAAAAAAAAAAAAAAAAATACTGATCACTTCCCCAAAGTAGTACAATGTTACTATGGTAACATTGTACTACTTTGGTCATAGTAAAATATGAAAAAAAATCTTAAAATAAAACAAAATATAATAAAAAATTAAATATAATAAAAAAATAAAAAAAAGTCAGTGTCCCTGTTCACCGCCATGCCAGTTATATGATGACGCTGTACTGCACTGGTGACAGTATGTAAAAAAAAAAAATAGTGAAAATAATTTTTTTAATTTTTTCATTTTCCGAAAAATTATGACAAAAAAAATACAACTTCAAAAAACTCGCCATGCCTCTTATGAAGTACGTCGGACTGTCTACTCTGCAAAAAGGGGTCATTTGGGGATATCTGTACTATTCTGACATTCTTGGACCTCAAGAAATTAGATTGGCTGTCAGTACTTCAGGATTGATCAATATTCAGATCTATACCATAGTTTGTGAACTCTATAACTTTCCTACAAACTAAAAAATACATCCTAATTTGGGTTATTTTCACCAAAGACATGTAGCAGAATACATTTCGGCCTAAATTTATGAAGAACAATTATTTATTTGTAAACTTTTATAACAGAAACAAAGAAAAATGTGTTTTTTTTTCAAAATTTTTGGTCTTTTTTTGTTAATTTAGCAGAAAATAAAAACCCCAGCGGTGATTAAATACCACCAAAAGAAAGCTCCAGTTGTGTGAAGAAAATGATAAAATTTTGTCAAAAGTGTGAGAGCGCTGAAACCTGAAAAATGGCCTGGGCAGGAAGGTGTAAAATTGCACGGTATTGAAACGGTTAATGATATACTAATAACTTGAGTATGTGTGTTCCAGTTACTGTTGTGGTAGCATGAAAATTGAAGTCTTACTGCAATAAATTGGTAAGGCTTTTCTCTTTAAGTGAGACTACTACAAGGCTGTGCCTGATGTAAAGAGTTGCCAGTTCAAAAAGGTTTGTCACACCCACCTTTCCTTTGCTCTCAGCAGCTGAACAGAACAGTGGAGGAGGAAACAACCAAACCCAGTACTACTGAGTATGGGAAAACATGGCTCATTGCTCCTTCCTCCCACAAGACACCATTACTGCTCTGCAGTTGCTCAGGCATCCAGCTCTATCACATTGGGTGCTTAAAGCCTATACTCAGCCCTGTGTAAGTTTTTATGTGCAACTTGGACCTTACGCAGGGATTGTGTTTCTTTACTTGCTGAGGAAGGAAATGAGGTAGGTATTTGGGTCTCTTTAACTGCCTCCCGCCCACAATATAAGGTAATGGCGGGAGGGTGGCGGTTCTCTCGTTCTGGGAGGACGTCATATGACGTCCTCCCACTCTAACGCACCCTCGGGGGACTCTGTGTCCCTGAGACACAGTAGATCACTGTAAAGAGCTGATGACGTCGGCTCCATCATGCGATCAGCTGTTCAATCACAGCTGATCACATGTAAATAGGAAATGACGGTTATCAGCAGTCCTTTCCTCCCGCTGACAGCTCATAAGGAGACAAGGGTCGGTAATCGGCATTACTCAGAGCGGATATCTAAACTGATCATCAAAGCACTGATGATCAGTGTAGCCCTATCAATGCCACCTGTCTGTGCCCATCAATGCCACCTGTAAGTGCCCATCAATGCCACATATGTGTCATTGATGTGCACTGATATCAGTGCCCATCAGAGCTGCCTGTCAGTGCCGCCTAACAGTTCCAATCAGTGCCATATATGAGTGATGCCTTTCAGTGCCCATCAGTGATGCCTGTCAATGCCCACCAGTGATGCCTGTCCATGCCCATCAGTGCCTCCTATCAGTGCCCATCACTGCAGCCTCATTAATGCACATCCGTGAAGGAGAAATATTACTTATTTATAAAAAAAAAAATTTTAATTTTCAGTCTTCTTTAGTTTGTTTAGTAAAAAATAAAACCCCAGTGGTGTGTAAATATCACCAAAAGAAAGCTCTCTGTCTGAAATAAACTATAAAAATGTTGTTTGGGTACAGTGTTGCATGATCGCGCAATTGTCATTCAGAGTGCGGCAGCACTGAAAACTGAAAATTGGCCTGTGCCGGAAGGGGGTAAAAGTGCCTGGTAGGCAAGTAGTTAAGCAAGCTTGAAAACATGAACATGACTACATCAGTTAATCCAAAAATACCAGAAATCCAATTGGATGGTTCAGCCTCTCCATCAGCAAGCATCTGCTACATTTGTTATTGGGAGGGTTATAGCTAGACTTAAAGCGGAGCTACACTCTGCAATAGTTGCCTGTCCTTCAACTGTCTGACATTCCTCGCTGGCATCTTCCAGGTGTCAGCCGTGTCTCTTGTGCATGAGTAGAG